CTATACGCGAGTATCAGAACACGGTGGCAAAATGTCTCCCCTGATTTGCTCTAACACCAAGATTCAGCTCCTGGGACGGTCCCCAGCAAAGATAGATCCTCAATCTTGAAATTACATCTACTGCTTCTTATTTCTCTTCTATCTGTCTCTTGAGGTTCCATTTGGCCAACGAAATGCAGCTATTAGAGAGACTTCTTAAGGAAAAACCTCTGCTGTCACCAAAGTGTCTTCATTTAACTAAAGAGATAGACGCTGTGACATTATTTATAACAAAAATTTGGAAAGGACCTCAAGTATCCAACTGAATAACTGGTCAAGTAAACCATGACACCACTACATGATGAGATATTACACCCTGTCGAAAATGGTATTTATCAAACTTCTTAAAAATGCAGGAAAATATTCATGATAAAAATTCTAAGCACATCTTAGGTAAAAATTAACATATAAAACTGCATATTAGGATTTCAACTATGTAAAAAACTGTATAAAAGGATATGTGTATGTGTGTGTATGAGTGTGTGTGTGTGTGTGTGTGTGTGTGTGTGTGTACCATCTCCACAAAAAATGTCTGGAAAGAAATCCACGAAGACATTAACATTGTTTCTGAGATTTGTGAATAGGGGTGACTTTTTTCTATATGCTTTCGTTTCCATTTTTTTTTTATACTGATAAACAAGTTCTATATGAGGAGGAGGACTAGGAGGAAAAATACTGATCCAGACGGTTATTATTTTTAGCTTGTAAAATTATGGGCAATTTTAATTTTCTTTAAAGTTTTCTATTAGCAACAAATAAATTCTAGTTAGGGGCAAAGGAACTTCAAAAAAAGAAACAAGATTTCTAAAAATCTAATTATTTGGGGCTGTTTTGTTTGTAAAGTCCAAAATGATACCAATGTAGTTAACACCTCACAATTATTTAGCACTTTTTCATTTTAGCAGTGCTCTGATATTTAGAATTACATTAGACTACCAAAAATATTTTGCGAGGTAGGTATCAGGTATCACTATCTGCATTTAACAGGTGATGAGACTCAGTGACTGGCCCCAAGTCACAATAATCGGTGGCAGAGCTGGACTCAAACTCAGATTCCTCAGAACCCCAAGTACAGTGCTCTTCCCATTCATTAAGACTGACTGCGGTGTAACCCAGGCAGTCACCTAGAGGCAGGAGCATGGACACGGTGACCCCTCCTTACCTATGAGGGTCAATTCCTGAACAACCCCCAAGGGAGCAGGGTTCAGCTGAAGAAAGTATGATTTTAGGAGGTTTCAAAAACAAAGGGCAGGGGAAGTGAGGTCCCATGCAAACTTCTGAAAGCCCTCACGAATAATTTTTTTGCACAGTAAAACAAAAACTGTAACAACAGTACATTACGTGAAAAGAATAACGAGAGTTTACATGGCTTAAATTAGTCAAAGTGATAGGTATAGGTTCTACACTGTCTCCATTGAGAGCCTAGGATGATTTCCACAGGTGATGAGGATGTACCCCTCATTATGACAGTGGAAAAGTGGGGGGAACAGTGGAGAGATGAAGGGAAGTGAGCTGCTCGCTCAAATCACGGCTCTTTAAATTCTCCCGGTCATTGAAATCCAATCCTGAAATTGGAACAACTGGCTTGTGCTGTTAGCCTGATCAAGCAAGTGACTTTAAGTGGTAAAACTTAATGACTGGCTCTTTTTCTGAACATTCTGTCTCCTCTTTTCTGAAGATACTTTAGCACTTCCATACAGAGTTCGAATTAAATCGTTCAAAGTTTGTCCGAAAGCAGCTTACGCAGGGTCTGGCACGGATACTTGAATGGCACTACTTTATGATTTGGGCTCTTCTGAGGGTCCTTTCTTCCTAATATAGAAATGTAAAAAGGCTCTTAGTACCCCTTGATAGAGTTCAATGAAATCATTCAAGATTTGTCTGAAGGCAGCTTATCAGCTGTCCAGCAATGGTATTAAATGGTCCTCTTTGATGATTAAAGTCCTGCTAAAGATGATTTCTGTCCAATGTGATTGAAGGCATCACAGCATCTCTTTACAAGGTTCTGCTACATCACTCAGGCTTTGAACAGGTTAAGGTTTGACATGTAAAGGTATCAATTTGCATTGCTTTCTTGGGAGAAGGTTTTAATCTTGTCCTAAAAAATTTGCACCTGTCGGGGAGCCCGGGTGGCTCAGTCGCTTAAGCATCCGACTCTTGATTTTCAGCTCAGGTCGTGATCTTACTTCACGGTTCCTGAGATCAAGCCCCACGCTGGCCTCTGTGCTGACAGCGCGGAGCCTGCTTGAGATTCTCTCTGCCCCTCCCCATCTTGTGCTCTCTCTTTCCCTCTCAAAATACACACTAAAAAAATAAATTAAAAAAAAATGTGCACATGTTGCTTGTAACTGTTATTTGTCTCCAGTCCTACAGCTTCCTAATTATCTCTGTCAGCACTTACGATAATCACCTCTGGAGTGCCAGAAGCTTCCTGAGAGTCATCCTCTAGTAGCATCATATCACTTGAATTAATATCAACAGGTTCAGATCCAACTTCAGACAGAGTGCTCCTGTACCAAATGCTCATTCTCATCTATAGGTTCTTCTTGATCCCAAGATTCATGGTCTTCAGGACAGACCACTGAAAGGCATGCCACCATCCCTAGCCAAATCTTTTGTCAGCGTACATTAATGACAGGCTCTGTTGAACTATCTATTGGTTCTTTCAGTAAGAATACACCATTAGTGAGGTGCCTGGGTAGCTCAGTTGGTTAAGCATCCGACTCTTAATTTTGGCTCAGGTCACGATCTCATGGTTTGTGAGATCAAGCCCCGTGTTGGGCTCTGCAATGACCACATGGAGTGTGCTTGGGATTCTCTCTCTCCCCCTCCACCACTCATGCTCTCTCTCAAAAATGAATAAACTTAAAAAAAACCAATACAGCATTAGTGATCATGTCGGAATCCCATGGGGTAGGATCTTCAGACAGAGGAAACTTGGTGAGATTTTCAACAACAAAATTGGACATTAGTTTGGCATGTCTTCTCGAATAGTTGGATCAAACACTGATCTAAGAGCTCAAGGATCTGAAAGACGCAACTCATTATAAAAGGCAACCTTGGGACACCTGGGTGGCTCCGTCAGTTAAGCGTCCAACTCTTGGTTTCAGCTTAGGTCATGATCTCACAGTTTGTGGGTTCAAACCCCATGTCGGGCTCTGTGCTGGCAGGGAGGGGCCTGATTGGGATTCTCTCTCTCTGCTCTCTCCCCCCACTCACATGCTCGCTCTCTCTCAAAAAAAAAAAAACATAAGAAAAATAAAGACAACATTAACATTAAGGGTGCACACTTGCAAATGCATCTGAAGCACCAAAACGACTGGGAGGAATCAGTAGGACTTTGAATTCCAGATTGTTCTTTTTAGTCTTGAACTTCCACGAGAAAGCACTGTTCAAACCATTCCTTAAGGAGAGGAGTTATCCATGTTTTTCAGTCAGTGTGCCAGTACACCAGAAACTTGGCTTGGGTTTTTTTTTCCCCGGGAAGATTTGGGTATAGTTTTGTGTCAAGCAGTAGTGGTTTTGCCAGGAGGTCACCCAAGTACTGGCACAAACCAGAAACAGCAGCCTCTCTGTTTTCGCTGACCTCACGTCAGCATCACTCAGTTGGTTCTTGCTCTCCAAAAGGGCAAGTAGGATTCTTCAAAGGCTTCCAAAAATGGCAGCTTCTACAGCACTGAAGATTTGGGCAGGCACATGATTCCCGTCTTCATTCACCTCCTATGGTTGTGGCAGATACACCACAGGAGCTGCAGGGTCTGATGGTTCTTTCTTCGGCGCCACCGTCACATAAGACTTGGTCTCCAGGTCATGGTGTTACAGAAGTTTCTTAAGCCATTCCTTGCTCCCGGCAGGACTTTTTGCTGGGCCCACTTCAGTGTCTGAAAACATGTCTTTGGAAATCCCTCGTGCATTTTCACAGATCCCTTGCACGGAAAGTGCTTCATCGTTCTTTTGCCGGTCTTCAGTGTAAGGGCTTAACATTTCCATCTTTTCCATCCTTGGGTCAGCAGGCATAAAGCATCTCTTAAGCGACTCAGGTGTACAAGAGGCAATCCTGGCTCTAAGAAGAGTTTTGGCCTCCTTTACGGTACAAATTGTGGCCTCACTCACACCACAGGACGTGCGACGCTATTTGTTTTACCTTGAAGGAGCAGATCGTGGATGTCCCTTTTCTCTTCTAAAGACACCACCCTGCTTGCCTTTTTGGCTCCTTGCTGGGGTAGTTGTACTTGTTTCACTCTCTTCCACCTCAGTAGTCACATTTATAGAAGCCATGTTTAAGTTTAGGCTAATTAGCACAACCTGACAACTATCTACTAGAGATTCTATAGCCCGTGGTATTACAAATGGTTTTATGAACAACACATGGATTCATGTCAATATGGTGTTGTGATGCTCAGTGCCATAGGGCTGATCGTGTAGGGGACAAGTGGCACAAGACTGAGAGAGGAAACAAATGGCTCAGAAGTTTCTTTCCACCTTAGGATACAGCCAGAGAGACCATCATGTGGCAACTTGGACTGACTCCTGCATGCTCAATTCAGGATTTTCACGGTCGTCATAAAGGTATACAGAAGTAAATCCACCTATACTCAAATTTCCAATAAGGACAACTTCCAGTTAGAAAGGGATTACTGTTAAATTCTCCCCTCTAAGTTATCAGAAAGAAAAGCGCTGTTCATAGATTCAAGACAGTACTGCGGCTATGATTTCCCTTGGCTTAACACTATGAATTCAATTTTATGTGCAAGGCAAACACGGTAGAAGTGTATTTCCTGTCAACCCACAGTAAGTCAATCAAACATTATCCTCTGACAAAAGGCAACCTCTGAAGATGTCGATGCAAAGGCCAGGTAGGCCCTGAACAGCCACTGCTCAAGAAATGACTACCCAACAAAGAAAGTGACAAGGAAAGAATAAACTGGCCCCTTTTCAATGCCCGGCCACTGATACTTTACTTTTATCCCCTCCTCCTGGGAAGATAGAGCGAAGCCTGGCTTTCTTATTCTTCTCTTCGGGGGCCATGGGAAGTGGTTTGGAGCTGTGGTTGAGTGCCGAGGAATCTCGGTTGTTACTATTCATTCTCAGCGGGGGAGCTGGGGGTTTCTCTTCATTATCCAGACTGTCAGACATTTTCAGTTACCACTGATGGCGCAGCTCCTAAAGAACAGGAGGAGAAAACAGGAATTAAGAAAGAAGAGGCCTAAAAGACCCATCTAGTAAAATGGGGGCTCTAACAGCTCAGACACAGAAGCATTGGTCTCATGGCTGTCTCCAGTTTTGTGGGTTTTGTGATGACCATTTTGAGAGGTTTCTTTTCTAGAGGGGAGGGAGCTGCCTCCTGAAAGACCAATGATGCAATTTCCCAGAGAGGAAAGTGAAGGCAGTAATTAATGGCTTTTCAAGATGTAGACACAAACACATAACTTTTCTATACACATAACACAAAACACTTCCTTTTCTCAAAAATGAAACTCTATTTTCTGCCGTCTACTCTTAGCCTTTTAATAAACAAATTATGACCTTCTTTAAAAATTCTATCCAGGGTGCCTGGGTGGCTCAGTGAGTTGGGCGTCTGACTTCCACTCAGGTCATGATCTCAAAGTTCGTGCGTTTGAGCCCCGTGTCATCGGGCTCTATGCTGACAGCTCAGAGCCTGGAGCCTGCTTTGGATTCTGTCTCTGTCTCTGTCTCTGTCTCTCTCTCTCTCTCTGCCCCTTCCCCGATTGTGCTCTCTCTCTCAAAAATAAATGAACATTAAAAACAAGCTAGAAATATTTCCACCCCGACTTTTGTGATGGTCAGGAAGCACAACTCCTCAAAGTCTGGAGCTGTCATGGGTTTGGCTGTTGATCTTTAATGGCCCCAAACAATGACCCGTTAGCTGCTCTGACAGCTTGGGATGCTGCTGGCATTGGATTCTTACCTGCATGAACCAGGCTTACAAAACACACTCTACTGTTTCATGTCAAAGAACTGGGGCGTGATCTAGTAGACCTGACAGTTTCAGCAGAGTATGGGTGTAGGGACCGGGGAAACAATGCTGCATTTTTCCGGTAGCAGGCAGAAGATAAAGCTGAGCCAAATGTCACCATGAGCAAAGAGGAGCTAGCTCCAAGGAGAGGACCACTTCCTGAGGAGCCATCATAACCTTAAGCTGGTCATGCTTTATGTCCTGAAACGAGGAATGAGGGACTTGGCCTCGGTAAGAGGGCTGTTAAGGGCCGGTCTGGGTTTTAGCAACTTACCCCTGCTCTCAATGTCATTACTCGTTAGCATCTTGTGCTCAGGACGGAATACATTCGGGTTTCATCCCACTGGAAGGTAAAGTGGACTGGAAAAGCATGGACTCCCCAGTGAAACATTTCGGCTTCTGAGTATTTTCCTATTCTAATTCAAGTCCCTCCACTGGCGACCCAAAGGGACACTCGCCATCTCAAATCACGTGTTAAGAATATCTTCCAAGTGAATCTCCAGTTTGAATACAGGGAAAATCAAATCCCACTGCAACAAAATCTGCGTAAATTCATCAAGTGTCAACTGGCACTAATTTAGGAGCATAAGAGCTCTCCAAAAATGATTTAGCAGATCACTTTCTTCCAACAACATTAATGAGAAATAAGCTATCGTAATTATTTTACACCTTTAGTAGTTACAATGTGTTTATTTTCTTTTTGTTTGTTTTTTTTTTACATTTATTTATTTTTGAGAGACAGAGGGAGACAGAGCACAAGTAGGGGAGGGGCAGAGAGAGAGAGAGGGAGACGCAGAATCCGAAGCAGGCTCCAGGCTCCCAGCTGTCAGCACAGAGCCCGACGTGGGGCTTGAACCCACAAACCGCAAGATCATGACCTGAGCCAAAGTCGGACGCTCAACCGACTGAGCCACCCAAGCACCCCATGTGTTTGTTATTTTTGGTAATGAATTGTTACATCATGCCATGTGGAAAATTTTCCAAATTTTACTATGTCCTAAATTTTCTCCAATTTAAGTATTCAAGAATAGGTGAGTACCAATTAATATTTTCTCCAGCTGCACAGGTAACTTCCAGCTAACAATGACTGACCTGATCTTAATTTGGACAAGAGATCTCTTTTCTTTCTCTTTGCCTAAGTGTCACGTCTTGCATTATCTTCATGGATTTAAGATTGGTTCTGTATTTTTTCAGCAATCATGATCAGGAAAATAGTAACAAGCGTTTGGTCACCACCAACCACTTGATTAACCTCACATTTCCCTATACAGGCGAAACCACGGCACAAGATAAAATGAAAAACCGTGATATCAAGGATAAAGCAGATTCATAGATACTACTGGCATTAGTACGTACTTCGACTAGTACATGAAACCGGTGTTGATGGGTCTGCATTCCCTCTTACATTTTAAATTTGACCCTTCTAGGGGGCGCCTGGGTTGCTCAGTCTGTTAAGCATCTGACTTTGGCTCTGGTCACGATCTTGTGGTTCATGGTTCGAGGTTTGAGACTCGCATCAGGCTCTGTGCTCAGGCTCAGAGCCCAGGGCCTGCTTCGGATTCTGTATTCCCCCCACCCCCTCTGCATCTCCCCTGCTCACGCTCTGTCTCTCTCTCTCAAAAATGAACATTAAAAAATTGTTTTTAATTTGGCCCTTCTAAATTCACTGTTTCTCCAGAAGAAAAGTGAGCTTAAGACTGACTTCACCAGTGGCATTATTCTGTACTGGACAGGTCCATAGTTTTAATTTAGTCACTGAGAAGAATTTGCCACCAGGAGAAGGCACTGTTTTCTGTGGGGTTTTTTTTCTGTTTTACTTTTTTGGGCTTCAAAATAATGCCTCGATATGGATGGGGTGATTATTACATAAAGCTCAGATATACAAAAGATAGCTTGGTAAAAAAAAAAAAATTGAAAGCCACTGCAAAAAACAAAAGCAAAAACAAAAACAAAACCCTGAGGATTTAAATAGAAATACCTAGAAGATAGGTTTCTGAAAAATGTGTCTCACAGAGAGAGAGAGCTGGGTGATATATATTTTCTGATGACATATTACATAATTTAAGATGATGGAAGTTAGAGAAACAGGCATGGCTTCTTTAATTTGATATACAAAGCTGACCTTATATAATAGGGCAAGTAAGAGTCTGGGCCCATCAGGGTTCTAGTACACCTACGTAATTCAAAAGAATACTAGGCTCCTTTGTTCTTGATATTTAGGTGTGGCTAACGGAGTGGTGTTTTTTTGTTACTAATTACTCTCTGGCTAGAGACTCAAAAGGTAGGTGCCCTGCTTCTTTTCAAGCTGCCTGATTACTCTGACCTTATTTGACCAGGTATATTTCAGGCTGGGGAAAGAAGGGGTACTTGGGATAGAAAACTCCAACGATGCTCCCCTAGAATACACTAGATATTCCTGGCCAAAATTTCACCACCACATACTTGCTGTGATCCATAACACAGGCATCGTGTGAAGGACCCAGCATATATGGGACACCTTTCTGCTGCGCAGCAATCTGGGATTGTTTTAACGCTATTCAGCTCATCTGTAGACTGCAAGGGGAACCAGAATACACCTTTCACACAGATGGAAAAGAAGTGGAAGGATCTGTGTCTAGTTCCACACTAGAAACGTGGAGCACGAAGCCAATAATCTTTTGGTTTTACTTAGACATTTCAGATTTGGTATTGCTTGAATTGTCCTGATATTATTTCAGTTCTTTATTACCCTTTCCAATGCAAACCTTCTGAGATGGTGACAAAAGAATAGTGAGGAGGCTCTTGTTATCTTTAACTCGCCTTCAAACCAAGTGCTTTGAAGCATGCTTTTAGAAGACCCATGGAGAAAGGGTATGGACCTGTGAGGAAGCTTTGATGTTAATATGTTTGTTTCCCAAGTGGGAAGTGTCTCCGATTATTCCGCAGACGTAGAAGAATGGGGGATTCTATTATGTTATGTTTGTAAACAATACCAATTTACTAAACCAGGTCCCTCCCTTGAGACAGCTTTCTACAAAGGATACTATTAATGGATTGCTGGTTCAATCTGCCTATGATGTCATTATTTCCAAGATCTTGAAAGAGACTATTTTGTTCAGGGTGGCTGTAGGCTCTATTTCAAGAATTGTACAAAAGCACCATTATTCCCCAGGAACCCAATCAAAACACTGTTTATCTTCAAAGTTTAACTGTTGTCGTTCACTTCTGCAACACAACAGAAACTTGCTAGTGAGTGGCACGTTGGATCTAGCCACAGGCCATTCATTTCACTTTTAGAGCTTGGCCCTTAGCATCGTGGAGAGAAAGCAAACTTTAATGGACAACCAGCCACAGTTTATATCTGCTCACAAATTGATTTCATGTTTGGCTATTAGGTTTTTCAGTGAGAATTCAAGTGGCTCCTGCAGATGGCGTATATTTTTGATCCAGCCCTTGGGACTTAATGTGGCTTACCAACGTTCTGTAATTGTAATTGAAATTCATCAGCAATAAGAAATAAGCCTCTTGTTTCATGATAACCAAGGAGCCTGGACACCCCTTTTCCAGAGTACTAGGAATGATTACTTCTCTCTTTCCCTGCCTCCTTATCTTTTTTTCTCTCTCCACTCCACTCTCTACCATACCCCACCCCCAAGTGTGAGGGCAGGCCTGCACGGGCAGGCACGTGCTCACAGGCACATACTCAAATACACACACACACACACACACACACACACACACACACACACACTGCACAGCCTTTCAGTGACTTGCGTTTTAACAGAGATTTGGTGGAAAGCATTTTAATCAAGATCCATGGCAACTTTAGATGAAATGATTAGGCATTATAAACAACTGCCATTAATTTCTCATTCCTCAAAAATGCATTCTCTTAATCTGCGCAAGGCCACACTAGACACCCAGAGAATGCTCAGTAGATTAAAAGAGAAAGCCACCAACTTGCAGGTTCCGGGAGTCAACAGGAAAGACAGATGATCAATTATTCTCTAGCTAAGATGGCCAAGATTCATGCTATGGCATAGGTGTTGAATTAAATACAACCAAAAATGCCCATTGTGCCCATTTGTCACAGGTGCTCTACCCAGGTGTGCGAAGGGTGAGAATCCAGAAGCACTGACCCTACAGCTTTCAAGGCCATCTGTTAAGTCACAAGCAACTGAAATAAATGTTTTCATCAGATCTGGTG